TGTCTCTCCAGATATGACTTGCTCTTCACTCAGATCAGGGCCAAGTGATGTCATTAACTGATCTCTCTCAAGAGATGACTTGCTGTTCACTGAGATCAGGGCCAAGCAATGTCATTAATTGATGTCTCTCCAGAGATAACTTGCTGTTCACTGACATCAGGGCCAAGTGATGTCATTCACTGATGTCTCTTCTGAGATGACTTGCTCTTCACTTGGAACAGGGCCAAGCAATGTCATTAATTGATGTCTCTCCAGAGATAACTTGCTTGTCACTGAGATCAGGGCCAAGTGATGTCATTAACTCATGTCTCTCCAGAGATGACTTGCTCTTCACTGAGATCAGGGCCAAGTGAAGTCATCTACTGATGTCTCTCCAGAGGTGACTTGCTCGTCACTGAGATCAGGGCCAAGTGATGTCATCTACTGATGTCTCTCCAGAGATGACTTGCTGTTCACTGAGATCAGGGCCAAGTGATGTCATTAACTGATGTCCCTCCAGAGGTGACTTGCTCTTCCCCGAGATCAGGGCCAAGTGATGTCATTAACTGATGTCTCTCCAGAGGTGACTTGATCGTCACTGAGATCAGGGCCAAGTGATGTCATTAACTGATGTCTCTCCAGAGGTGACTTGCTCTTCACTGAGATCAGGGACAGTGATGTCACTACAATATTAATTGATGTCTCTCCAGAGATGACTTGCTCTTCAATGAGATCAGGGCCAAGTGATGTCATTAACTGATGTCTCTCCAGAGGTGACTTGATCGTCACTGAGATCAGGGCCAAGTGATGTCATTAACTGATGTCTCTCCAGAGGTGACTTGCTGTTCACTGACATCAGGGCCAAGTGATGTCATTCACTGATGTCTCTTCTGAGATGACTTGCTCTTCACTTGGAACAGGGCCAAGCAATGTCATTAATTGATGTCTCTCCAGAGATAACTTGCTTGTCACTGAGATCAGGGCCAAGTGATGTCATTAACTCATGTCTCTCCAGAGATGACTTGCTCTTCACTGAGATCAGGGCCAAGTGAAGTCATCTACTGATGTCTCTCCAGAGGTGACTTGCTCGTCACTGAGATCAGGGCCAAGTGATGTCATCTACTGATGTCTCTCCAGAGATGACTTGCTGTTCACTGAGATCAGGGCCAAGTGATGTCATTAACTGATGTCCCTCCAGAGGTGACTTGCTCTTCCCCGAGATCAGGGCCAAGTGATGTCATTAACTGATGTCTCTCCAGAGGTGACTTGATCGTCACTGAGATCAGGGCCAAGTGATGTCATTAACTGATGTCTCTCCAGAGGTGACTTGCTCTTCACTGAGATCAGGGACAGTGATGTCACTACAATATTAATTGATGTCTCTCCAGAGATGACTTGCTCTTCAATGAGATCAGGGCCAAGTGATGTCATCTACTGATGTCTCTCTGTCTCTCCAGAGATGACTTGCTGTTCACTGAGATCAGGGCCAAGTGATGTCATTAACTGATGTCTCTCCAGAGGTGACTTGATCGTCACTGAGATCAGGGCCAAGTGATGTCATTAACTGATGTCTCTCCAGAGGTGACTTGCTCTTCACTGAGATCAGGGCCAAGTGATGTCACTACAATATTAATTGATGTCTCTCCAGAGATGACTTGCTCGTCACTGAGATCAGGGCCAAGTGATGTCATCTACTGATGTCTCTCCAGAGATGACTTGCTGTTCACTGAGATCAGGGCCAAGTGATGTCATTAACTGATGTCTCTCCAGAGGTGACTTGCTCGTCACCAAGAACAGGGCCAAGTGATGACATAACAGTGTTAACTGATGTCTCTCTAAAAGCGACTTGCTTGTCACCTAGAACAAGGCCAAGTGATGACATAACAGTGTTAACTGATGTCTCTCTAAAGGCGACATGCTCGTTACTGAGAACAGGGCGAGGTGATGACATAACAGTGTTAACTGAAGTCTCTCTAAAGGCGACATGCTTGTCACCAAGAACAGGGCCAAGTGATGACATAACAGTGTTAACTGATGTCTCTCTAAAGGCGACTTGCTTGTCACTGAGAACAGGGCCAAGTGATGACATAACAGTGTTAACTGATGTCTCTCTAAAGGCGACATGCTCGTCACCAAGAACAGGGCCAAGTGATGACATAACAGTGTTAACTGATGTCTCTCTAAAGGTGACTTGCTTGTCACCAAGAACATGGCCAAGTGATGACATAACAGTGTTAACTGATGTCTCTCTAAAGGCGACATGCTCGTCACCAAGAACATGGCCAAGTGATGACATAACAGTGTTAACTGATGTCTCTCTAAAGGCGACTTGCTCGTCACCAAGAACAGGGTCAAGTGATGACATAACAGTGTTAACTGATGTCTCTCTAAAGGCGACATGCTCGTCCCTGAGAACAGGGACAAGTGATGACATAACAGTGTTAACTGATGTCTCTCTAAAGGCGACATGCTCGTCACTGAGAACAGGGACAAGTGATGACAAACCAGTGTTAACTGATGTCTCTCTAAAGGCGACATGCTCGTGTGTCTTGACTATAAATATTTCAGAGCAACTTAAGAAAGAAAAGCTATCTGTAGACACATGTTCGTTGCGGCTGTGATTAGTTATTAACTTATTACAACACATTTTGCGATTTTTTAATCCGGGGGGGGTGTCATTATACGAGCAGTGATGTATTTTAGCAACTGTATTGTCTTGTATCAATACAGAAAAAACAAGGGCTGTAACAATTCACTGATACCTACTATATCATCGATACTTAAGTACACACAATACTTGAATCGTCAGTTTGTGAAATCGCGATTAGCTATAAATAGAACAGGAACTAATAGAGTTACCTCCCATAATGGCAGAAGTAGCATAGCGCTACTTGTAGGCATGGTAGTACACAAGGACGAGGTAGCTCAGGATGCACCAACTAACATTACATTTAATAAACATCCCTTCGTTTGAAAAAGTGTTTTGTGCTTGTGGTTTTCTTTGCTAAATAAATAAATGTATGAAGGAAGAGGTTTTAGAGCTGTATTTCAGTGACTTCATGATTTCTTCCTATTTGATGTGCTGTATCGTGATACCCGTAGTATCATGAGTCTGTATCATGATATGGCAAGATCCCAGGCTGTACGTAGCAGCTCTAGTGACAACCCATGTGGCATGTAGACCTCCTGAAACTCAGGGGGAATGAGTAGTGGCGCTGAATGCTGGTGTGTGAGCCTGGCGCGGTGTTGACACAGGTCAGGGTGCGTTACTCAGAGTTGTCTCCCTTCCATCATGATGAGGATTTTCACTCGTGGTTACCTGTGATTGGGACTATTCCTGAACAAGTCTGGGTACTGTCAGTTTTATTTCTATCCAAGTTGATGAAGTTGACCTGTCAAGTATAGTCGAGTCCTAAGTACCTTTCTAATCAGCCTTAAATCTAGAATTGAGCTGGTCGAGTGGTTATCACATATGAAGATTAAATATATAAACAATTATTCATCAACAAGCTTAGGACATCCACATGAGACATTTGGAATTTATGTAAAATATCAAAGTAGCAACAGTATCTTTCATATTTTGAAAAAAATAATTATCAGAAGTAACATAGAGATCATAGAACAATCATCTGTGTCATCCTAATTTTACAAAAATTGTCTGGAAATTCTTGTATTTCCCGAGCGAGAGCGAGGTTTATGCCTGAATTCTTACACAAGATTCATAAAATCAGTATGACGCACATGCGTGTTTAATAATTTCGTTATTACTCATTATTTCTTAATCTTCTTGCGCACCCCTTTAGAAAAATGCACTGATCGCGACAGCTATCTTAGAAAACCTGAGTTATGATGACGTCCACTATCTTCAGCTTTAATGTTGTTTCCAGACTAGTATGACGGCTGTCTGACTTTCTATCATGATAAGATTCGAATGACGGAAGCATTTTCACTAGTGCACATTTGATTTTTGTGAACCCTGTTATTTCTAACCCTATGGTAAATAAAGTTAAGTAACCAATGCCCAGAGAATATATTTTGAACAACTACTTTTTGGAAATATTATTTATTATTCTTATTTCTTTTGATGCATGACTCACAGTCTCTGTCTTTCTGTGTTTTTTAAAGCTTAGTCATAGTCATCATGGTCATAGCATATTTTCTGCAGCAAACTTTATACTTGTAGGATAATAATTAATGTATGTTTTTATTCATATTTTAATATTTTCATAAAACATGGGTAGGTATATGGTGCAATATGAAACTCCCAATTCCAAAATCCCGACAGTGTCAATACAGGAAGACATATGCCATCATCCTGGTAGCCATTTCCTTCAGTTACCATGGAGACCCGTGAAGATCCGGGGTAGAATAGGTCTTCAGCAACCCATGTTTGTCATGAAAGTCGACAATGCTTGTCGTAACGGGCAACTAACGTGATTGGGTGGTCTGACTCGGTTGATGCATGTCATCATATCCCAATTGCATGGATCGATGCTCATGATGTTAATCACTGGATTGTCTGGTCCAGGCTCGATTATTTACAGACCGCCGTCATTATAGCTGGAATACTGCTGAGTGTGATGTTAATCAACAAGTAAACAAAACAAACAGTTAATTGGGACCTTTTTTCAAACTGGTTAATGTGTTATGGGACGTTCCACTGTTGTATGCGAGCAAGCTCTGCATGTGTATGATATGTGTACCTCTACTGTTGAAGATTTCAATCTAAGCCAAGATTGTGATCTTATTCCAAGCTGTCATGCCATCGCGCTAAGATTGGATTGTGCTAGTAGAATAAGACTTAGGTGTGGCGATTGTAAAGTTGATAGTGACTAAGATTATCTTGTACAAGCCGGCCCTCATATTATGACCACAGTTGCCATGGTAACCGCTCACTGGGATTATTGCTGAAAGAATCTGCTTCAGAGAAAAGCTGAAACAGTTTTCAAAGAGTCTAAATAAGTCCTTTGCAATTGTTGTAATCTGGCAATATTTATTTATCTTCTATCCCAAACACTCACCTGATATTTTACACAAGGCTCCAAGATACTTGACTGCTCGTTAACACAAGGCTCCAAGATACTTGACTGCTCCTTAACACAAGGCTCCAAGATACTTGACTGCTCCTTAACACAAGGCTCCAGGAGTTGCACCTGTGGCTTGACAATCCCAGTTATCACCTGCGTGATGTGTGGGCAAGTTAATAGATCAGCAGGTCCCTTGTGCGAATGTTTCATGTGAAGTCAAGTTGGCTACCTGTTCGTGTATATCTAAGCTGCATTCATATTGATTAAATGAAAACTTTCTTCCAACCTAGATGGAAGTTGATATTAATGTCGGCCTCTTCAAGGGCAGCGTGGTCCGCCCACCCCTTGACATGCCCTCGACGATACAGACAGTCCTCCCCTCCGTAATGTTAATTATTTATGGTTATTATGTCGAGGTATGCTAAGAGTGTCTGCTGGGTAGTTTATTACAGTTGATAACCGTAAACATGTTGACCTGAAGATAAGGACTTTATAAGGGCTGCTCACACAGTGCGTTGTGTTGTTGTGTGGAGAGTTAATCGGCCGCCGCCGCGTGAAGCTGCTTGTCAGCTCATTGATCAGGGTGACATGCATCATTGATTTTTAATCTTGCCAGCATCTCATGAATGGCTTGGTAGCTAAAGTGGTGTGTTACAGCTTTCTTGATTTGTGGATGAAAGACTTATTGGAACAGGGTGAAATTGTGCATGCATTTCTGTCCATGCTCGGAGTAGAGCAGCTGTGTTCTTCATCGAGATGTGTGTGTTCCTAACCAAGTTTGTTTTTTTACCAAGATATGGGTTCTTTACCAAGATGTGTCTTTCTTATTGAGATACAATGTATGTGTGTTCTTTAATGAGATGTTTGTTCTTTAATGAGATGTGTTCCTTACCGAGATATGTGTGTTCTTCACCAAGATGTTTGTTCTTTACTGAGATATGTGTGTTCTTTAAGAAGGTTGGTTCTTTATGCGTTCTTAACCAAGATGTGCATTCTTTACTGAGATATTTGTGTTCCTTAATGAGATATGTTCTTTACAGAGATATGTGTGTTCTTTAAGAAGGTTGGTTCTTTATGCGTTCTTTACCAAGATGTGCATTCTTTACTGAGTTATGTGTGTTCCTTAATGAGATGTGTTCTTTACAGAGATATGTGTGTTCTTTAAGAAGGTTGGTTCTTTACGTGTTATGTGTTACCAAGATGTGCATTCTTTACCGAGATATGTGTGTTTTTTACGAAGGTTGTGTGTTCGTTACCGAGAAATGCATTATTTACCATGATTGGTTCTTTACTAAGATGTGTGTTTGTTACTGAGATATGTGTCCAGTGAGATTGGTTCTTTATAAAGATTGGTTATTAACTGGGATGTGTGTAGGCAATACTGGGATGTGTGTATGTAGGCAATACTGGGATGTGTGTATGTAAGCAATACTGGGATGTGTGTATGTAGGCAATACTGGGATGTGTGTATGTAGGCAATACTGGGATGTGTGTAGTCAATACTGGGATGTGTGTAGGCAATACTAAGGCATGTGTAGGCAATGCTGGGATGTGTGCAGGCAATACTGGGATGTGTGTAGGCAATGCTGGGATGTGTGTAGGCAATACTGGGATGTGTGTAGGCAATACTGGGATGTGTGAAGGCAATACTTAGGCGTGTGTAGGCAATCCTGGGATATGTGTAGGCAATACTGGGATGTGTGTAGGCAATACTGGGATGTGTGTAGGCAATGCTGGGATGTGTGTAGGCAATGCTGGGATGTGTGTAGGCAATCCTGGGATGTGTGTAGGCAATCCTAGGATGTGTGTAGGTAATACTGTGATGTGTGTAGGTAAAACTGGGATGTGTGTAGGTAATACTTGGATGTGTGTAGGCAATGCTGGGATGTGTGTAGGCAATACTGTGATGTGTGTAGGCAATCCTGGGATGTGTGTAGGCAATACTGGGATGTGTGTAGGCAATACTAAGGCGTGTGTAGGCAATACTGGGATGTGTGTAGGCAATCCTGGGATGTGTGTAGGCAATCCTGGGATGTGTGAAGGCATTGCTGGGATGTGTGTAGGCAACCATGGGATGTGTGTAGGCAATACTGGGATGTGTGTAGGTAATACTGGGATGTGTGTAGGTAATACTGGGATGTGTGTAGGTAATACTGGGATGTGTGTAGGCAAGCAGGCAATACTGGGATGTGTGTAGGCAAGCAGGCAATACTGGGATGTGTGTAGGTAATACTGGGATGTGTGTAGGTAATCCTGGGATGTGTGTAGGTAATACTGTGATGTGGGCAGGCAAGCAGGCAATACTGGGATGTGTGTAGGCAACCATGGGATGTGTGTAGGCAATACTTGGATGTGTGTAGGTAATACTGGGATGTGTGCAGGCAATACTGGGATGTGTGTAGGCAATACTGGAATGTGTGTAGGTAATCCTGGGATGTGTGTAGGTAATACTGTGATGTGTGCAGGCAAGCAGGCAATACTGGGATGTGTGTAGGTAATACTGGGATGTGTGTAGGTAATCCTGGGATGTGTGTAGGTAATACTGTGATGTGGGCAGGCAAGCAGGCAATACTGGGATGTGTGTAGGTAATACTGGGATGTGTGTAGGTAATCCTTGGATGTGTGTAGGTAATACTGTGATGTGGGCAGGCAAGCAGGCAATACTGGGATGTGTGTAGGTAATACTGGGATGTGTGTAGGTAATCCTGGGATGTGTGTAGGTAATACTGGGATGTGTGTAGGTAATCCTTGGATGTGTGTAGGTAATACTGTGATGTGTGCAGGCAAGCAGGCAATACTGGGATGTGTGTAGGTAATACTGGGATGTGTGTAGATAATCCTGGGATGTGTGTAGGTAATACTGTGATGTGGGCAGGCAAGCAGGCAATACTGGGATGTGTGTAGGTAATACTGGGATGTGTGTAGGTAATCCTTGGATGTGTGTAGGTAATACTGTGATGTGGGCAGGCAAGCAGGCAATACTGGGATGTGTGTAGGTAATACTGGGATTTGTGCAGGCAAGCAGGCAATACTGGGATGTGTGTAGGTAATACTGGGATGTGTGCAGGCAAGCAGGCAATACTGGGATGTGTGTAGGTAATACTGTGATGTGTGCAGGCAAGCAGGCAATACTGGGATGTGTGTAGGCAATACTTGGATGTGTGTAGGTAATACTGGGATGTGTGTTAGCAATACTGGGATGTGTGTTAGCAATACTGGGATGTGTGTAGGCAATACTTGGATGTGTGTAGGTAATGCTGGGATGTGTGTTAGCAATACTGGGATGTGTGTAGGCAATGCTGGGATGTGTGTGGGCAATACTAAGGCGTGTGTAGGCAATACTGGGATGTGTGTTAGCAATACTGGGATGTGTGTAGGTAATGCTGGGATGTGTGTAGGCAATGCTGGGATGTGTGTAGGCAATGCTGGGATGTGTGTGTAGGCAATGCTGGGATGTGTGTAGGCAATACTGGGATGTGTGTAGGCAACCATGGGATGTGTGTAGGTAATGCTGGGATGTGTGTAGGCAATGCTGGGATGTGTGTAGGCAATACTGGGATGTGTGTAGGCAATACTGGGATGTGTGTAGGCAATCCTGGGATGTGTGTAGGTAATGCTGGGATGTGTGTAGGCAATGCTGGGATATGTGTAGGCAATGCTGGGATGTGTGTGGGCAATACTAAGGCGTGTGTAGGCAATACTGGGATGTGTGTAGGCAATACTGGGATGTGTGTAGGTAATGCTGGGATGTGTGTAGGCAATGCTGGGATGTGTGTAGGCAATGCTGGGATGTGTGTAGGCAATACTGGGATGTGTGTAGGCAACCATGGGATGTGTGTAGGCAATACTGGGATGTGTGTAGGCAATACTGGGATGTGTGTAGGTAATGCTGGGATGTGTGTAGGCAATGCTGGGATGTGTGTAGGCAACCCTGGGATGTGTGTAGGCAATACTGAGATAAGTGTAGGTAATACTGTGATGTGTGCAGGCAATACTGGGATGTGTGTTAGCAATACTGGGATGTGTGTAGGCAATACTAGGATGTGTGTAGGTAATACTGGGATGTGTGTAGGCAATGCTTGGATGTGTGTAGACAAAGTTGGGATGTGTGAAGGCAATGCTGGGATGTGTGTAGGCAAAGTTGGGATGTGTGTAGGCAATGCTGGGATGTGTGTAGGCATTACTAAGATGTATGTAGGCAATACTAAGATGTGTGTAGGCAATACTGGGATGTGTGTAGGTAATGCTGGGATGTGTGTAAGCAATGCTGGGATGTGTGTAGGCATTACTAAGATCAAGTGTTTGTAAGCAATACAGAGGTTCTCACATACATAGTATTTATCAGGTATTTAAGATTCCCAGGTATGTTGGATTCTCAGGTAAGTCAGGTTCTCAGGTATGAAATTCTCAATTATGTAAGATTCTCAGATGTGAGATTCTCAATTATGTGAGATTCTCAGGTATGTCAGATTCTCAATTATGTAAGATTCTCAGGTGTGAGATTCTCAATTACCCTATTCGACATAATAAGCGCCCTGCTCTTATAAGCGCTCACGGCGATATTTGCAAATATAATGGCAGGTGAACAATCTCAATTAGCACACTTCTGATTGATCAATGTACCCAAGACTTATTTATTCGTGTATAATATGCACTCGTGTGTTATATGCACCCTTAATTAAGGGCAATTTAATTCTGGAAAAATGTATCTGTCGTGTATAATTCGCACATACATTGTACTTTTCTTTTGTATCATTTCAGGCTGTAAGCAAAAACCACAAAATTCACGATCTTTCAACTCTTTCACCAAAATTATATTCTAATAAGGGCCCCATATTTCTAATTTTGAGAGCGCCCTGGGCGCTTATTACGTCGAATACATTATGTAAGATTCTCAGGTGTGAGATTCTCAGGTATGTCAGATTCTCAGGTGTGAGATTCTCATGGGTGAGATTCTCAGATATTTTAGATACTCAGGTATGTTAGATTCTCAGATGTGTAAAATTCTCAGGTATACGAGGGTTCTCAATTATGTAAGATTCTCAGGTATGTAAAATTCTCAGGTTTGTCAGATTCTCAGGTATGTCAGATTTTCAGGTATGTCAGATTCTTAGGTATGTCAGATTTCAGGTATGTCAGATTCTCAGGTGTGAGATTCTCAGGTATGTAAGATTCTCAGGTATGTAAGATTCTCAGGTTTGTCAGATTCTCAGGT